CCAAAATGCCGCCATGTTTTATCCAATACGACGGACGGACGTTACAAAATGGCGATTTATTATTTTCATAGTGACACACCCTTAAATTATGGGTATCAGATGCAAGGGCTTTAAAATTTAATATGGCGGACTATTTATTTTGCACCCCCAAGATATTAGACCAGGGTCGATAATTTTTGAAACCAAGAAAATAATAATAGTAGAATGAAACCCATTGGAAAAGGAAGAGAATATAACAAAAATGAAAAGAAAAATAATTAACGGGCGATCTGGGGTCGGAAAGTTGGAGGGGGTGAGTTTTTATGGGTAAAAAACGGTTTATCTCGATTTCCGGCAAAACCACAAGTCCTATGGAAAAAAGTTAAATGGCAAAGTTGTAGGTAATAAAAAGATCTACAACGATGTATTTACACTTTTTTCACATTTTTCACTTTTTTCACAAAATCCGACTGCGTAAAAAGCGAACTAAAAAGAGGAGAACAAGTTGACGAAGGGATACAGTATTATGCAGTCGGAGACATACATATACATGCACACGCAGCATATTAAATATGTATGTCTCCGACTGCATAATACGAGTATACACCTTCGCTTTAAAAAAGCGTAATGTTCGAATTTTACCTAAACGTAAGCTCACCGATTTCTCTGAGACGGTTTAGTGTATTTGGCTAGCTTAAATTAAATTCTATTAAGTTTTATACGTGTCGAGTTGGTCCAATATAAATTTCTTTATTATCATACTATTCCATTCGAGAAAATCATTAAAGCAATATTAGCTACTTAGGTAACTTTTACTTATTTCTAAGTATTGCCTAGTGGACTTAATACTTTTATATATTTTATTTCCTTCGATCGGGTTACGTCCCAAAGCTTGAATGGTTTAGGAATGCATAAAAGACAAACATCCAAACCAAAATTCTTTCTTTTGAGCCAAAAACTTCGTACATTACGTTTCGTACGTTCGTTTTTTGTTTTAAATATTTATTTTACATATAGTACACATATAAATAAATAAATAAAAAAAAACTTAAATAAATTCAAACTGACTTCAAGGACCTAAAGAGTAAGGAGTAACTGGATGTGTTTTTTTATTTGCAATAGCTACCAAAACAAATATTTGTGGAGACAGCCAAATCAAGGCAGACAATAATAAAAAATCCATTAAGATATGAAAACAAATTGAAAAATAAATTTTAACATCTTAATTCTGCTTAATATCTATCAACTATGAATTTGCTTTAAATATTATAAATGCTTTAATTTAATAAGTGTTTCTTCTAAATTTCTTCTTACAGGAAAAAATAAAAAATATGTATGTATGTATGTATTCAGCCCTTTTTAACGTCCCACTGCTGAGCACGGGCCTCCCTTCAGTACGAGGGGGATCAGGCCATAGTCCACCACGCTGGACAAGTGCGGGTTGGTGGACTTCACATGTCTTTCGAAAACTTGCTAGGTTTTCTCAGACATGCAGGTTTCCTCACGATGTTTTCCTTATTATAATATATATTCCTATTTTCCGTAAGGCAATTGGTAATCATGTTAGAAATGATTCGCACATGAAAATATCAGAGGTGCGAGACCCGGGATTTGAACCCGCTTCACTCGGTTTCCCAAGCGAGCGCGTTACCACTGGGCTACCACTGCCTAAAAAATATATAAAATGTTAATAGTTACTTTATCGTATATGTATAGTAAAGAAAGTCCATGAAGACATCTTGAAAGTCTTGAATCGACTCCGGCTCCGACTCTTATGTAGTCACCTTAAACATTACCTGCCGTTCATTAAATATTAAAAGGGGTTTTCCAAATAAATCATACATTTTTTAATATACCTACGAACCTTTAATAGAGCATTTTAATACTCCATATATTACTAATTATAACACGAAGCTATATAAGAAAAATGCTAAGTTTAGAGGGCATCGTTATCTAAATAAAACACATACTCAACTTAATATAAACATATTTTAATTATTTGACACCGTCAACTTATAAATTTCCATAGTATGTACCAATAATTCTTACAATTTTAACATTCTACAAGAAACATAAAATTTCAAATGACGAACATTAGGATAAATATTGTGTGGACATTGTGTTGTGATCACGATAACCAAAAAAACGTGTGGTATATTCATTATAAACAGTGGAATATTGAGAGGTTTAGTTAACAAGTGAAATAACGATAGCAAGTCGCAATCCCCTTACATTGTAAGTAAACAGATGCGAGAATAAGCGAATTGACACTTGCAATCAGTATTAGTACCATAGAGAACAACTAATATTCCTCTATTTATAGAACATCTTACATCTAGTACCCAATAGTACTGTGACTAGCATTTTAACGCAATGACACATGATGTCATAATAATAATGAATATATTGAAACACTTCTTTCACAGTTAAAGTGTTGCCAGTAGTCGACTGAGCCTAATTTATATGTCGAAGGTCACCAACACGACTTTACGTGTACACTGACAGTGAATGGCAACACTGAATCTATGAAAGAAGCTAAGGAATGATTACATTTGCCTTACACTATCGAGCGGTTACGCCCATAATAACTTAAACGACCAATGATATAACTATATTGCAATACTTCAAATGTGATAGGGACCGCTATTATTTGTGGCACACGAGACGGTCTATTACGTTGATTTGTCTAATCTATATGAAAGTGTAAACTTTCGATCAAAAATGTTACTTAATGTTAGTGTTTTATACAAGTGCTTTAGTCCAACTATTAGTACTATTATTTCAAAAAATCTCAGATATTGAGTAATTCTACAATTGAATCAAATATTTCTATCCAGAGAATAAATTGGTTTATTTTTATTGTCTAATGCTAACTGTTTTGAATTAGTGATATCGTAACACCCTCTCTGTCACAGAAATAATGCAATGCCTGAAAATCTCACAATGATCATTGATCCAATATAGCTTTTGTCATATAATAAAAATACATAAATTGCTGTTATTAGGCCAAGTATTTTTTTTGTGAAAATATATTCGAAATAAAGAAAAATAACATCATATTTAATAAATAAAACTTTTACCGTAGCAAAAGTAATTCGAACGTAATAATCAAGAAAACAAGAGAATATGTCTATACAAAATATATTTGCGAAATTAATACTTAAATTATTCGAAGAAATGATAGAAACAGTTCAATTGCAAAATAAAATCGACAAAATTGTATTATGCATTCATTAAATTTGAATTAACAGTATTGCAAGATTGTGACCACTAATTATTTCTTATAAAATTAGCCGTCGACGTTTTTCATTCTCAGAATTCTGATAAATGAACATTTGAACACCAAAGTAAGCCATCTGTAAAAATGTTTACATATTATTATGTTAAATACCGCCAAGTATCCACATAAAACATATTTGGAAAGTACATATATTTTATTATTTTTGTCTTGGATTTTATAATTTTTGAAATGTGACAATGAATAATAATATATTTTAAGTGGGTTCAGTATTATTGAATACCTTATATCCCCTCCAACAATTAATATTTGCACCGTATTTAATTCCAAAACTTTATAATTCCTACAAAAAAGATATTTTGTTTATGGGAGCCAGTAGAGAATTTCTTAAATTCACAAGTACATTGTAATGTCAACGTAAAGACATACATTATTGTTCTATATTATTCTTTTTTCAAAATGGCGCACGTTAAAAACTTGAATAACTATATAGTAAAAACATTGTAAACTTAAATAAACAAATATACCAATTCGCTACAGACTGTAGTTAATGTTAATTTAAGTAAACTCTTTTGTTTTTGTATGAGAAGTAAGAAAATCTCTACGCCGCTCTAAATATAATAAAATGTCATGCCAATTGTTATACTTATTAATTTAACGGGATCACCACACTGTAGATTTTAATGCATCACTGGAAATTCTCAACATTTATCACATATATAACATAAGGTAAATTAATCAGAATTCACTATGTAGCTATAAATCTACAATGTGAATCATGCTTTAAATTGCCCTCATACCAATATCATAGACATACACTATTGTCAACTAACAACAGTCAAATATTAAGATTAAATTTATAGACACTATAATTGAACTTCGAATAACATGCAATTATTGATTAACCTTAAAAATATGCACCAGTGACGAAATGATAAAGATCATCTTTCATATTTTCTTAAGGATCCCTTTTCAATACAAAGTGATCATATTATTTACGTCACTGATGAAAAATCACCATTCGATAAATTTAATTCAGAATTTAAAAAAATACTGTTTTTTTGTAAAATAATGAAATAGTAAACACCTATGTTAACTTAAACTCTAAAATGACAAAAAAAGTTTAAGACAATTCAAAATTTAACTTTTGTAAGGCAAATAAATACTTGGATGTGTGCAAAAAAATCATATTTTAAACCAATTTTAACACCATATATAGTTTATATAACCTCTACAAGTTTCACATCACACACTATCCATAACGAGTTTCACACATACACAGCCCTATATTATATTGGTCACTTCTCAAACTACTGATATATACTTATTAGAAGCAACAAATTACAGTATGGATTTTAAAAGTAAATAAATTACATTAAAACATTTTAGAAATTAAATGGCATTAAATTTATAAATTATTTTAAATATTAGGTAAATTGTAACAGTTACGTATTAGACAGTCAAGAGAACATAAATCGATTTAAAAATGTCACAGAAAAATATATACATGTCATTTTTTGTTTCGTTTTAAATAACGAATTTCTTCCAGATTTAACTTTTGATCCTTTTTTTTTTATTTTAACAGAATGTTGTGTAATCCCAATGAACAAATATAAAAATTACTTTCTAAATCATGTAAAGAAAATTTATTAATTATAATTGTGATATTTATAAGCCTCAATTGATTTCGAAGTAACATTGTGATATTTTAAATATTTTTTTATATATTTCAAAGCAGAAACGTCACTAAATTAAAAAAAAATATTCATAATGTTACAATCTATACACTAGCAGCCAGCGATAGATTTTGTGGTTTGTGATCAAAGTGTCTCAACCACAGACCTAACAACATCTTCAAAAGCTGTATGAAACAATTGAACATTTCACTCTCATTATAATTGTTATTATCCTCCCAACAAATTAAATTTCTTCCGTAATCCTTATACGAGACTATTTTCATAAAAATCTTCTGTAAATTCCTGCCCAAAAACGATTGATTTTGTTCTCTTTCACCCTCGCTACAAATTCTACAATCACAATTACTATCTACACCTACTAAATTGGAAGAATCTATTACATTATCTGTTTCAATACTTGCAATACTGTCGGAACTCGATACTTCTGTGACAACTATCTTAGGGAGATTGCGGTCTTTTAACTTAGGTATGATAGTTGAATAGGTTCTTTTTAGTTTACGAAGATTATTTATAGCTCCAGAATCGTATTTCGTTCCTTTAAACGTAGTATCGATGCCTTCATTCGAGTTACATCGAGAAAATTCTTTTCTTTTGTATATATCATCACAACTCTTAAAATGAGTCAAATTTTGTTTCGTAAGAACTTCCTTCCTTAAACTATTATTGGTATTTTCCTGCCATACATTCGTAGTTACACCGAATTTTCGTTGGCGTACATTTCTATTCTCTGTATCATCACTCGTGTTTCTTCCATCGTAAGATACGCTCCTGTACATTGGAACTCTCACTTCCAATCTATGCATATCGACCTCAGTTTTGACCCTCTCTAAATGTTCTGTCGAACTTTTTCGGGACTCCCTATACTCGTCGAAATTCTTGAACGAGTATGTTTTTTGTAATTTCTTTATCTGGGGAGTAACGCTGCCACTATCACATTCAAGTCCCTTGTAACTATCCCTAAGCACTGAAAGAGCTGTGCTGTTGTTGCTGTACAAATTCGTGACATCCACAGATATATGTCGGCTTTTCACTTTAGGAGAAACTGGTATATCTTCAAAACTTCTGTACTGTTCGAGTCGCAAATTGGAATCGATTTCATAACCGATCGTCCAATACACTTCTTCATTGCTATCCGAACATTCTGAAAGGGTCTGCAAGTAGTTGACTATATCTAATCCGCGATCTAAAGAAATCGATCGCTGTAAGGGTATATCGTGTTCAAATCTGAAATCGATTTCGTACTCTTCCTTTTCATCGAATTTGCTTCCAAGCCACGAATCGACTTCTCGATTGTTGAGGTTAAGTTGTAGAAGTTCTTGTCGGAGATCGATCTCCTGTGTGTTGTGTCTTACTTCTGAGAAGCGTCTGAGTACTTTTTGTTGTGTGTTAGTGAGTGAGTTGGAATCGGGGTCAGAATGTCTACGCGGTGGCGGTGGCGGGGCCGGCGGTCGAGGCTCCCTTGAACGACGATAGCGGCCTCCTTGGGAACCCGCCCACGGCGATATCAGACTCAGCAAAGAGCTTGCGAAAACTGCGGACCGACACACTTGCTTAATTTAAATTACTTAAAGCCTTAGTTTTGCGTTAAATCATATAACTTTTTCGAAACAAGATCACTATTTTTTTATTATAATAAGCATTGTGACTGCGCTAGAGTTGGTGAAACATTTAGAATCGTGTGTTTTAATTAAAGAAAATCTAGCCTATAAAAATACATAGTGAATTAATCAATTCAAAAAACAATAACAATACACACACTCGCTAAAAGATCATCAACTCTCAATACTATACTAATATCTATTGTATCGCAAAACAAAGAATGAAAACCGAGTTTATATGAGTACCTTGATTCCACAAATCAGTACCAAGGGCCGAAAGAGATCCTCGGCGGAGGAGACCGGCGACTTTCATGGCGGGACGTCAGCGCCAACCAGAACCTACCCACCAATATCAGGGACAAGGGCGAAAAAATAAAAAAAAATTACAAAGAAAAAAAACAAAACCGACTTGATATTTCAGTAAATGAGACAGTATGGCTACATCAAGCCACATACAGAAATTATGATTGAATGATAAAATTTGTTAATTTATAAGGACAAATGAGATATATTGACATAAACATTAATACAATGTGAATGTACAGTGAGGTGACTTGAACGGAAATGGACCAGTAAGGTAACATAAAAATAATTAATGCATTATTTTCAAAAGAACAAAAAATTCCAAAAAGAAAAATTATGTTTAACACTAGCTTGTTACGTCTCACAAAAACTGTCACAAGAAACTGGCCAGTAATAATCTGCTGCAATGTGGCACAAAATAATATAAAAAAAAAAAAAGAAAAACTAAAACGAATGGGAAGTGGTCAAGCTATAAGCGACAGTGTATTTACTTTCATGCCATTCCGTGCGTCGTGCTTAGTGTTACGATGAGTCCATATTTCGAGATCTCTTTCGGCCCTGGTCGCATTTTCCGAACATTTTAAACAATAACGCACCTAAAAACAATCGACATAATTTTGATAAAAATAAAGCCAAAACTTATGATTCATGCGTTTCTATAGTAAACCAAGAGATATTTGGAAAAATGTACCAGAACCAATTAGAAGCGTGTTGTGTGAATTTTGTATGAATCTTTCTAAGCCAATTATATATACATACATATATGTACGCGTATGTAGAGTATTGTAATGTAATTTTTTTTAAATTTTATGGTGCAATTGCTAACTTGTTTAAGCTTTAATATATCAATACATATGTAAAAGACCATATATTTTTATGTTTTAATATTTAACATGTATTAGTTACAATTAAAAAAGGTTTCGATATTTACTATTTACACGTACTAAGATAATTATTCGCCCAATAATTAATTGATTAGGGCAAGATTGATAAGTGCTTTTTATATTTCTTTCAAGTAAATATAATCACACAAAATATTTTATCGTTAAAAAAACTATTAGAATATTTTTATCTATACTTTTTACTCCTTTATTTTGTTACAAGTACAGAAAACGGATTATATATAAAGCGCAATTATAGGTAAGTATCAAATATGAAGTCATCAATATCAGTCAGACAGACAGTAAAGCCATGCGCATAAGCATTATTATTTTTTCGTAATAAATGATACATTTATCGCATTTTTTTATTATTTAATAGTAAAATAAAAAATTTACTCAATAGCATGCAATAATATTAGCAAAATTTACCCCTTTAATTTATTCCCTTATTCCAACATGCATATGTCACAAAACAAAGCGATGAGTAATAAATACTGCAGTAATTACAAGTATTATTTCTAGGAAATATAACGTATTTTCTCAACACAAATCCTTTTCAGATTTAAAGATAGAATAAAATAATATTAATCGCAGTATTTTCACGTCAAAGAAATGCAGTCTTAATTCTCTCATTTTCAGCCAATAGAAGCCCCCGGTTGCCACTTTTTAATTTATATAATAATGTTTAATCGTTTTATTAATAAAATTATATATATATATATATATATATATATATATATATATATATATATATATATATATATATATATATATAACATAAAATTGATCGTATTGGTCAGTCTGTGCAACGTTTAGAAGATGTAATCGAACACTAAGGTAGTTCACATATCCAAAATCCCAACATATATATAGACACTCTGGAGTGGATTAAATAGTTTATATAACAAACTTACTAGCGCCTTACCCTCGCTTGGCTCGGGGCATTATGGGTGCCTAACAGTAACCTATATCACTACAGGTCATATAAATGTACTAAATGTCATGCAAATCCGTCCAGACGTTCTTGAATAAAAATACACACATACACAAACGTTACATATATAATAATAGCTATATTAAAGTAAATGATGTATATTTAGTTGTACTTACAACTTCCTGATTCCACTGTTTCGCTTCCATGGCGCGTCGTCGGGCTCGGCGGGCAGCGGCCCTTGCACTGGTGCTTCGTCCTCCTCCACCGCAGTAGTGCTTATTGATGGCGACGTATCTGAGCCGCTATTTAAACAATCATCACTTATATTATTACCGGTTGATAAACATATTTATTTAGCATTTTTTTTGGATTATAGGCTATAATAATATTGAACATTTTGCGAAAATACGCTATCGGTAAGATTATTCATATTATTAAAACGAAGCGTATCTAAAGGGCACGCCCACGCGTAGAGAAGATGGATCACTAGTCTTACTGTAGTATTTCACCCCAGAACGCGAGTTCGATTTCGTACTTTCTCTTTTGTGACATTTAATATACGTTTCAAAACCAAAAGGATAAGATAGCTAGAGCGCGTTTATTTTTATTCTAAGCTTAGAATGAATAACAGATTAACCAATAACTACATTATCGTATAAACAATATAAATAATAATAATAATAAGTAAATATATAAATATGTTGGGACATTAACAAACAAGCACCACCTAGTTCTATGATAAGCAACGAAACCTGTGTTATGGATACCAGATAGTTGATACACTATACAAAATATATAACTTTAAATATAATATACTTATTATAAATATAAACACGCATGACGGAAGTACAAACATTAGTGCTCATCACACAAATGAATGCCCCCAGCGGGACTCGAACCCGCGACCGATGACACAGCAAGTAGGGTCACTACAAACTGAGCCAAACAATCGTCAAATAAAACAGATAATCACCTATCCGGCTGCGGCTCAACCTGTAACGCCTGCAACTGCTCCTCGGCACGGTTCAGTTTGAGCTTCAGCTCGTTCCTCTCATGCAGTATAGCACGTAGTTCACGCACGCTGAACGTCGGCTTGGACGATTGGTCCTCGTCGTCTCCGTCCGGCAACGCGACCCCGCATGATGTGCACTTCTTAAACCAAGCGAAAAGTATAAAAAACCACAAAGTAGGAAATTGCCTATTGATTTTAAAGGAAATGCTAACATAGGCAAAGGTTTCAACCACTTTCATGGTGGTTTCGGAGTTAAAACACTGTAGAGCCATCACCTGACGAGTTACAGTTATCATTCAACTCTAAAGCCGTTTCGCAACTTTCATATAAAAAAGGTATGACATTTGGATATGCCTCACCCGGGTCTCACCTCGCAAACCCCCCACGACAGCTCTGTTTAGACGTTTTCGAGAAGAAGACGATAGATTCGTATGGTTTAGTAAACTGTGGTATTATATAATGACAGCTCAAAACAAAATATTAAAATCGGACAGAGGTAAAGCGGATAGAAAAATAAAATTAACCCCAATATCTAACACTCACTGAACGCAGAATTGTATTTTTATACTATTAATCACCAAAAAGAATTCTTCTAAAATAATCGTGTTTTAGTGTTCAAATAAGAATAGAACAAAAGCTATTTATTAGCGACAAACGATTTTTATTTATTAGTGTTAGTTCAAATAAACTAAAATGTTTGAAACTTGAGAGAAAATTGTTCTCTACCTCATTCTCTATCTAGATAAGAGATGACTCTTACACATTAAAAGCTATAACTTATTCTTACAAAATTGCATAGCAATGAGGTCAAATTTCAATCAATTATTATCACTCATTTTCATAAAAAAAAAGAACACCATAAGTTATAAATTCAAATAATTGTAAGTCACTGTTTACAGTAATTATTGCTAATGTCACTAAACACAATAGTTATAATATGGAAAGTATGCACAGAGCGTGACGTTGACAATTTCATGTGATAAAAATCACATTATTACACCCTGTTCTCGTCGGTAAGATAAGAAGAAGAAGACACAGTGTGTATTAAACACTATGTTTAGTTGTTTCGCTGTCATCATCAAAGATAAATCCCCGTGCATGCATTCGTTTAACGATTATCTGGTGCAGTGGTAGCATTAGGGCTTTCGAGCCGAGAGTACGGGGTGCCATTTCCTAAACCAAAAATATATATCCCTATCCAAAAATATATGTATGCCGCAATATTAGGACGAGAAAACCTAAAAGAGACGGATAAACGTTAATGAAATTACAGTGATAGCCTTAAAATCTGAATCAGAAAAAAGTAATTTATAAATAAATTAATTTACTTTAAAAAAGTTCTTAAAAACCATAATAGTTTATATCAATAAAATTAAAAGTTAAGGTTGTTAAAAAAACATATTGTCACAGCACATCAACTATAATTGAAATATGTTACATATTTTTCTATAAAAATATTTAATCCTGTTGTGTATTCAGCTTTTATTTGACGTCTCACAGCCGGGCACGGGTGTCCCTTTAATACGAGGGGGATCATGCCAGAGTCTACCACGCTGGCCAAGTGCTGGTTGGCGGACTTCACGTATCTTTCAAAAACTTGTTACTCAGACATGCACACAAAAAATATTATGCTTTTTTAACTTTACTAATTAATTAATTAATTTGGAAAAATATTAGGTTTTTTTTTCAAATAAATGTAATAAATGTGCATGATCTTACAGACGTCTCAAGCACGTTACAAGCAAATAAAAAAACGATACAAAATCAAAATATCCTACTTCATAGTTTGATTGATACTTATAAGACCCATATTTATATTTTATTGTATTGTTTACATTGGCCATTTTGATGATTCTTTATAAAAAGATCTATCATATTTTTTACCTGATTATATTTAAGTTAATAACTTCTGTGTTGTTTATCAAAATGAGCAATTGTTTCCGTCCTTGGGTGTATTTATAGTTTCCTAGATAACGGGAGATAGTTACAAATTAGTGATTTATTATACATTCACTGAATACCTATTTGTTAAAGTCTATCACAATATACGTACGTACGTACAAGTAATATGTATGTCTGTTTGCGCAGACAGTGCTTGTACATAAATAAAATAAATAAATACATATATTACAGAAGTAAATTGGAAATAATGCTCAATAGGAAATATGCATGTCGTTTCAACTTTTTAATCGAATCTCTATCGTTCGAACTTAATATAAACATTTATTTCTTCACTTTTAACAACATTAATTATTATTAATTAATAAAAAAAGTGCAAAATATTCGAACGCAACGACACGGTTAATAAGAAATTAAAATCCCCTTTTTAGAACACACTCCAATATTACCAAAAAATGGCGTAATTAATGAAAATAGCTACAATATTATTTAAATCTTGAAATAATAAAATGGAAATTGGCCTTTACTTAGTGTATTTATTTTTAACAGGTCTTGTTTTTACTATGATATAACGATGTAAACAACGAATAAATATTAATCAATTGTTTAACGATAATTATATTGGTTTATTGTAAAGTAAAATCGCAATGTCAAATATATATGTTTTATTTGATTTTTTTCATTTTTTATTTGGAGGCCGCTTATGCACTTATATAGCTGAAAGGGACTATTTATATTAGTTAACTAACGACTCACCCTAGCTTCGCTCAGGTTCGTCCCTACTTACGTTTTAACGTTTAGTATAGATTTTTCAAAGATGAGATATTTTCGCGCAGTAGAAAGAACTATATGTTGACCCAGGTAGCCAGCTATCGTCATACCAAATTTCATCAAAATCCCTTCAGTGGGTTTTCCGTGATGTGGTCACAGACAAACAGATAGACAAAACTTCTAAAAACTATAGATTCGGCCTCTCTACCGATAATACTGTATTTCAATGATGACTAAGCTAAACAATTCAGAGCTTCAATAAAGTCACAATTTACAAACCTTGTTATGTGCATCTGATTGCTGAAGGGTCGTTATATCACGCTGCTGGGACTGAACTATGGCCGTTAACTCTGTACGTTCCTCGCATACTAAGCGCATCTGGAATGAAATAATTATATAATAGATAGGAATGACATAATATTAGACTACTGAAACTTTTCAAAAAGATATTTTTAACATCTCATTTATTATCATAAGCAGACTTTCTTACCACTATCCCACGCAATCATGAATTTTACAGGTGTAAAAACTAGGATCAATAACGTTTAATGGACTAGCTACCGCTGTTGTTCAAGAAAATTTCTACTTTGGGCAAGTACAGCAAGCGTGTAAAAATAGCTTTATATCTCAAAGCTCTATCTCAAACCCGAAAAAGTATAAGGCTTAATTTTACAGCATTTAGGAAACCTGAAGCTTTTTTTACACAGCGACGAGACGTGAATCGTATTCAGCCCTTTTTAACGTCTCACTGCTGGGCATGGGCAATACGAGGAGGATCAGGTCATGCTATGTGCAGCAATATACGTAAAAGAGTAAAAGATCGAGATCAGTAGTGTGGTAAGAGAGCCGCATATGTCAAACAATTGACAGAAGCGGGCTAATGATGATGATCGCTTTTGTGCATACTTCTTATAATAAATTATATAAATATTTACTACATAATTTATTATCAAACCGTTAAAAAAATTAACTCTCGTGTACGATGGTTATTAAAGTTAAAAATTAATTATACACTTTTTGCGAAAAATATAAATTCAAATTGTTTTTTTTTCAAACAGTTATAAATAGGTTAAGCAAAGTAATAAAAAATTAGAATGAACGTACCTGATTTTGAAGCTGCTTATGCTTTCGTCGGAGATCGCGACTGACCTGCGCTAATTTCTCCACTTGACTCGTCAACTGTAATGTATCCAGAATCGCCATGTTTTATAAATATGAACTGGTATTTATTTAAACAAATTAATGAAACTTTTAATTTAAAATCTAGAAATTATTTATAAACACTACTATTTATTTTTATAAAATAATATATCGATGTAGAAACACGTGATAATAAAAAAATAGTATAGGTAGGTATATTAAAACACAAGTACTGAATTATGATATGATCAAAAATGTGCCAGATAATATTAAAGTGGGTTTGCGGGAGATAAAAGATACTTCATTGGTCTCTTTGATTAGATACGTCAATCGTATTACGATCATTTTTGTATAATGGAAAAGTCCAAATGAAGTTTTAAGGTGAAATAAAAATTTAAATAAATAGCTGTCATGATTTTTAAGTTATTGGTTACGATAAGAAACTTATATCTGTAAAGATTACAAAATGAAAAATATTTTTGAAGTGAAAACTTCTAAAGGCAGTTTCGGTTACTTACTTTACAGTTACTCCCCATGTAAATTTATGTAAGTCGTCATCGACATGGTCACGTGACGTGTGAACGCTAACACTCAGAGTGCTGATAGATGTCAAAACCAGATAAATGTAAAGTTTTAATTTACAAATTTTAATTTAACAAAGATCAAACAATTAATTTGAATATCCAAAAATAACAACTATTTGTTTATAGTTTTCACTTCTGTCAGCAGTCCTCAGTTGTCTTAACTAAAAAAAGCAGTCAAATTTTTTTTAGTTATGACAACTGTTTTTAATTCTACTAAATATTTAATAAAATTATAAAAAAATATATTGGAATAAGTCAATTCACTGTGATTGTTATCTAATTAATCTACTTATAAAACACTTATAAAATAGGATTCGCTATAAACGGTTTGGACTCCTGCACTTTAGGGAACTGTAAACATTTGCATCTACTAATTTTTACCAATCTTTACAGGAGGTTTTACTAATATTTTCAAGACGAAGCGCGGCGTTGGGTATCTATCCATTATCTAAATAAAAGATTTATCGTAATAAGATAGGAAATGAAGTGATATCTACGAGGCCGCCCCGCAAAACATTATCATAACACTTTTGCAGAGCAAAAAGTATTTTTACCTATTATATGTCTTGATGATGAGAGCTTCCATTTAATACAAGCAGTGTTTAATTGAGGTCCTAAGTGGAAATCGCAGGAAAGATTTATTATTTAGTCTAAGCGTTAGAAGTTGCGTTAAAGTCAATAAAACTTTATTATGTAAATTTTGGTGCTCTAATCCTCCAAACATTTTAATGTTAGTTTTCGGACCATTGCCGAGGGTTGCCTAAAAAGTAGCCTAAGTTACTCCTTATAACATCAGCTAACTGCCGGTGAAAGTCCCATCAAAATCAGTCCAGCCGGTTCGGCGATAAGCTTGAACAAACAAACAGACTGACAAACAGACAAAAAAAGTTAAAAATTGTATATTTCTTATATGTAAGATATTATTTCGACATTACAAAAAGACACTTCAATTTTATTTATCTAGATAATAAATATTGTATTAAGTTTATTTTAATCAGTAAAATAAGTAAGTCAACTTGAAGACAACCTATAAATCCATGTTAAATAGTTTTCGACTAAATTAATGTACAAATGCGGTTTGATGAAATGAAATACAAAAATGGTAGTTAGTAACTAGATGTAAAATAGATTCTAATATTAGAATCTTACGTCACTTTAAAGATATTCATTTTTGAAACAATAAATAATCAACAGCATTGTGTATGAAGCACTAACAATAAGTAATATAGTAATTAATTGCGTAAACGAAGGTCACAAATTGTGTGCTGCAAATTCGAGCAGTTGCGCTCTGGTTGCGGTACATTAGACTTTTCACTCGGACGCTCAAATTTAAGTAATCTACATTAACCACGTAGAAAGTATAAATACTAGGGACTCACCCTCGCTTCGCTCGGGTTCGCTAGGTTGATTCCCCATACAAACTTTCATCAGAATTTTCACCCCCTTAAGGGATAATTTCCGGAATAAAAAAAATCCTATGTCCTTCCCAGGGTCTCAAACTCAACAGATGAAATTTGGTAAGATAGTTTGAGACACTGGGAAGGATTTAGGATACTTTTTAACCGGACACCATCCCTTAAGGTTGTGAAAATGAGGATGAAAGTTTGTATTGGGAAGCAAGCTAGGGACGAACCCGAGCGAAGCGAGGGTGAGTCGCTTGTTTTAAATACAATACTTATAACCGTATCGCAAACATTATCTATCTGCCTTTTTCCCAAACACTTGGGGTCGGCGCAGTACATCTTCCGTACTGCTGATAGGATTTGGCAAAAGTTTTACGACCGGCCGCCTGCCTGACGTTAACCCTCCTTGGGAACCGTATCGCAATAAAGACGAAAAATATACCTAAATATTAAGTAATTTTTATATATGACTAGCGACTCACCCGCGCTTCGTTCAGATTTGTTCCTAGGTATGTACGTTTTGACGCTTAGTACAGAATAGTTTTTTTTCCAATTTTTTTTCGTAACTTTTTTCGATGTTCTAATAGTTATTCTGCTATTCGGGATGAAGACAAATCCAACAAAATAAAGATCATAAAAATCGGTCCAGCAGTTCTCGAGTAATATACAAACTTATAAGTAATGTAACAAACCCGACTTTGTTTTATATTTATAAATTGCTTTTATTTTTCTTTTTGGAAAAATGATTTTGATGAATTTTTATTATACCAGAATAAAATTTATCATGATGATCAATATTATCACAAGTAGTTTTGGGATCGCCTCAGTAAATTGTTTCGCTTATTTATATGTATCATGAAAATTTGATTCTGTTGTTACCTAACATCTTAAATCCATAATAAATCCTGTATGGTATCTGGTTTCATATAATTAGCAGGAGAAAATAAAAAAAAAACAATAGGGAACATTGTTTTGTGAAGATAATAATATCGATCCCTGATTAAAATTAGATAAATTCAAAATGATATCAAACAAAATAATACCAGAAAGATGTTTTATAGCCTGTATAGTGTATAATTGATGTATATAAGAATAATATTATATATAAAAGCGAAATATCATTCTCTCACTATATGAATGAATCACGAAGTCTCTTAAACGTATCAAAGATAGTACTATTAAAATAAAATTGTCTTTTCAGATTTTCTCGCGGATTTATTTTGATTTTTGGTTCCAGTACTGTAGTACTATGTTTGGCCACCTTTTTTTTTTTTTTTTTTTTTTTAACGTTGGGAAATGCATTTACGCACGACGTGTGGGACTCACCGGCGTAATACAGCCAGTACTACCCACTAAAACCTAACAAAACCTTCCCCCGTCTTAATGGGGCGTCGCAGGATCGCTTACGCATTTAACTACGACGCCCCGACGGCAGGTCTGCCAAAGCAGACCACCACAACCTTGGGGTTGCTCCAAGGTCCACTCTGCTATCAGAGAAGTACCAGGAGCAACCCGCAAGGTACACCGCCCCCCGAAGAGGGCCACCTCCCACCGCCCACCGAAGTGGGCAACCTCCCTGTGCGTTTCTTAGCTTCGTACTACTACTACTGAGCCCCCCCACCACGACAAGGTGAACGCACGTTGGGGGGGGATGTTTGGCCACCTACGCCTACCTGCTAAGGACTTTTGGAAATTTACATTTTAAAAGGGGGTGGGGGGAAGGTTTACAACAAATAGTAGAATATATTATAAACATCATAAACAATCTAAAACATCAAAACAAGAAAAAGAATCTTATATTTACGTAATATGAAATTGCGAATAAAGTTACATACATACATATATTTTAATATACATAGGTACACTACAAAAATAGTGTGAACCAATCTAAGAGGTATGTTTTAAGCATCTTGTATCTTATGGCAATCTATTACCGCTCCGTTAGAATTCAATAGAATCTGTATGCACGTTACGTATCTCGTGTTTACTGACCTAACAAGTAGTTCATCATAGACAGAAGTCATTATGCATGCACATGGCGAGGTTCCCTTAGAGACGTGAAATTTTAATACTGAATATGTATGCAATGCAGCAAAACTTAATAACACCGCAGCGATGTTTTCACAGCTCAATAGATAACATTAAAGCATTCTGTAATTGTATGCATTGACGAATGAACGAGCAAAGAATTATAATTATAAATGCTGTACCTATAAATAAATATCTTTTCTATTTTGTTATGTTTAACACATTGCGGTTATAATAATAACACGATATTTGCATATGACTTTTTTATATCCTAAGGTTAAACAGACTTTGAAAGAACAAATAAATCTACTTTTTCTAAACTAAATAAGGCGATTTTTCAAATATATGTACATTTACCATAAAAAAAAAATACCGCCAAGTTGAGAACCTCCTCCTTTTTGAAGAAGTCGGTTGAAAATTTAATTATGATCAATTCACAATCTGCGATGTATCATATGATCCAATAATCTATACATATAATAAAATTGTAACTGAGTCGAATCTGTACATTAAATGTTTTTTGGAAAATCTAATTGAAATAGACATTATTATCGATACAGAGGCCGAATCTATAGTTTTTAGAATTTTTGTGTCTGTCTGTCTGTCTGCCTGTTACCGCATCACAGAAAAACCACTGGAGGGATTTTGATGAAATTTGGTATGGTGATAGCTGGTTATCCGGGTCAACATATAGGATACTTTTTACCGCGGGAAAATATATAATTTCTGAGAAAAAATACAAAAACTGCAATGTAAGAGTATACTAACGGACTAAACGGGCGGAGCCGCGGGCAATGCTAGTATGAAATATAATACGAAATATTATTTTTTGTTTTAAAAACTCACTTCTTAAACAATACTTATCAGTTACTAGCGACTTTCCTGGCGATCCCTGAATGCGTCCTAGGTCCTAGGTGCCTAACAATAGTCTATCTCTACTATACCTATATGGGTAAGTACATCTTTTGTAACGTAACATTGTGTTTTCTTTAAACCAAGGAATAATATTTTACAAAGTAAATTTATTCCTTAATCATAATTATTATCAAGAACAGGAATTTCATTAGAAATGGGTGACAAGAAAAAGGCTTCTTTTAGCTTTATAATCTGATAATGTCTCTTCATTAATTATAACTTAAGAAGAGGCCAAGTCCATTTTAAAGCTTTTATATAGAAGTTTTATAATCACTTTGTCAAATTTATTTGGTGCTTTTTAATTATGTAAATTACAAATAGATGTAAATGACAGATTTTTTGATGTAAACAAAATAAAAATTTTCAATGAGAAAAATCTCGCGGAAAAGCGAGTAGCATATAAAAGCATATCAAATAAAAAGTGATCGGTTCTAGAGGCTCTTGGTTTTCATGAAAACGAGCTCATATGCAATACTCTCTTGTAAATTAAATTTTTCAACCGTAAAAAACGAAGAGCGTTCATTTCCTTCTTAGCTTATTACGTAGGGTACCTAGATTTCTAGTACTTAGGTACTACGTAGGCACTAGTAGGTAGGTACTTTTGATTTCATAGAAGAATATGTAATTATTTATTATGTCTATTGTACATTGCGTGTTATTGACGACAATTAAAATACTTTCCATCATGAAATCATGCAAATAAATATTAGGATTTGATGAGACAACAAACAAAATATGTACTAGCGACTTACTCTCGCTTCGCTCGGGTGCGTGCGTCCCTAGGTACATTTTATATACATAAAAAGATCTACAATTTTCTAATACATTGTTTTGATACATCTCCAAAGGTTTAACGTTAGCCATGTTTTTTTTTTAACGTTGGGAAATGCATTTACGCACGACGTGTGGGACTCACCGGCAAAGCCAGTACTACCCACTAAAACCCAACAAAGCCTTCCCCCGTCTTAATGGGGCGTCGCAGGATCGCTTACGCATTCATCTATGACGCCCCGACGGCAGGTCTGCCGAAGCAGACCACAACTGCCACAGGGTTGCACCAAGGTCCACTCTGCTATCAGAGAAGTACCAGGAGCAACCCGCATGGTACAGCGCCCTCCGAAGAGGGCCACCTCCCACCGCCCACCGAAGTGGGCCACCTCCCTGTGCGTTTCTTGGCTTTGCGCCCGGCTGTATTGCCGGGCACTACTGAGCCCTCCCATCACGACAAGGTGAACGCACGTTGGGGGGTAGCCATGTAACCAAACCTAATTTAAATTTTCATTAAATGAAATATTTAAGCTGTGGTGTTTCAAGATGGGTCCCCCCATCTAGTATCACAGTCCATGCCTAATATGAAATTAGTAGCTAATAAAATAATACCTTTAAACTCTCCAGAAGAATGTGTCAGAAAACGACTTTCATACACATATACATATAACAGATTTACGCCTAATACATTTCCATTCATGGTAATAAAATTATTTACTGTTTTTTTTTTAATTTTATAAACACAATGGAGTCGCGGGAGAAATAATTCCGACCAATTAAGTCCCAATTTAGTTTATGTGAAATGTTTTGAGTCATAGATAAAAAATCCACAGATAAAAAACTAAGTAGAAAAGTTACTGTTAAGTAGTATTGTATATTACGGTCGTTAAATTCTCAAAAAAACCTCTAGGGAAATCTAATCACCGCCAATAGCTAAGTAAGCTCATTTGAGATCTTTTAACTTAATTGCTAACCTTGGTTTCTGTGATAAATTAAAAATGTTAATTTTAAAATACAAATTAGATACTTCAAAGGAATATCAAATTGAAAAAGACACTACAATTATAGAACACACAAGATTAAAATGAAATAATTCCACGAAACCTTATAATTATAACATTTTTGTAATAAAGCAACATCTTGATAAAATTTACATATTGCGCCAAAGACTGAAATGTTCATTTTAGGAACCATGCCGCTTGCTAACGTAATAACAAAAATATTAATGATATTTATGGAGGAAGACTACATAATCTGTATTGATACATATATTGTTTGAAATTACATTCTAAAAACTTTCACCGGTTATTTTTGTAACCGGAACTATTGAGACAAGTAATATTTTAATTTTCTTGATCTGCTGTGATAGATTACATAAATCTATTATGTAATTATTACACAACAAATAAGTTTAAAATCTATTAAACCGTATACTTAAAACGATTAAAATGATTGTGTATACATAAAGTTTTTTCGTGGGTAGGAGGTGAAAAGTAAACAGCGATTTTTTATCCCTCAGCAAAAATTTTATTTAAAAATAGTTAAAAATATTTTTATTGGTGTTTTTTACAAACCATATGTTTGACTAAACTTTGTTACCCGCCAGCAAGTTGAACTCCTTTGATTCGTTCACATTTCAACATTAATTAAGTAAACAATGAGCATGGAAACCATCAAGGAATCTCTTTCTGCAATGACTGAGATGTTTAATGTTAAGATGAGTGAATTCCAGCAAGAACTCCATAAAAACACCACTCCAGTGACTACGACTTCCTTGGCAGCTGATTTCAATACTTTTAAAAGCTTCATTCTATCAGCACTCAACACCTTGCAACGACAAGTCGAATTACTGAGTCTCGAGATTGATCGTCAAGAAATGCGTAGGAGACGTAAAACGTTACTTTTCCATGGCATCACTGAAGAGAAGTCGGAAGACATTTTATTAAAAGTCACCGAACTAGTTTCTCGGCATTTGGATTTACCGAATTTCTCTAGTACGAGCATTAAGTCACTGTACCGTCTAGGTCGACCAACAGATAAGAGACCTAGACCCGTAGTCATCAAATTCATGGATGCTGCAGTTCGTGATAAGGTTTGGTTTTTAAAAACTAAATTAAAAGGAACAGGTGTCACACAATCGGAGTTTTTAACCAAATCACGACATACACTATTTATGGAGGCACGGCAGCGCTTTGGCATCGGTAAGTGCTGGACGTGGGATGGATGTGTCAATATTATAGCTCCAAATGGATCTCGCCATCGAGTTGAGTGCTTGACTGAGTTAGACACTATAACAACATCTAAGTCTCCTTCACAAGCTGTTGTTGTTACCGTCAACAAGCCAGGTGAAAAAGTACTTGCGCCGCGATCCAAAAGAATTGTGAAGAAGTAGAAAGCCTTTTCTTTAAAATTTAAATTGTTTAATACTGTTTCTTTTTTTTTCATTTAAAACATAATTACTTCTAAATTATTATATTATGACCATATATTTTACCCATGACTGATTACATTTGCAGATAATAATCTATTGTATAAATAGTCTACAGATTAAATTATTGTATGCAACGTTAATTGTTAGTTTGATGCGTGGCTTTTTGCTCAAGGTAAAGGATAAATACGGTTTTTTTTTATTTGTTATAATATTTTGTGTACTTATTGGGTAAAATTAGTATGTTAATTATTGTACTTACTTAACTTAGGTATTTATAATGATAACTTTTTGTTTTATTGTGCTCATTTTGTTTACTAAATATAAATATAGTTTAGCGATAAATTATATACAAATACTTTTATGCAACTGGCAGGTGGGTGATGATAATTTTTTTTTATTTTTTTTTTATATATATTGTCTTAAATACTTACGTATATATATATTTATCTATTTGTTATTATTATTTTATTTTTTATTGTATTTGTTATTTATTTTATTACTTAATACTTTTTATATACACACATTTTTTTTTTATTAAATGTTTAACAATATTTATGATGACACTGATCTTTCCGTATCTTCTTTCAACGACCAAAGTAGCGATAATAGCTTCCACAGTATCCCATCTTTGAATGAGTCTCTTAATTCTTATTTCCCTACAGTCCAGAAGAATTTTAACGTCGTTCACATCAATGCTCAGAGTATTCCTGCACATTATCCTGATTTCTTATCAACTTTTGAAAATGTCAATGTTCATGCCATCTTAGTATCGGAAACCTGGTTTAAACCTTGTCTTCCGTCTACTGCATACTCTTTACCAGGATTTCAATTGATTCGAAATGATCGCACGGGTCGGACTGGCGGTGGTGTTGCCGTTTATTTACGCTCTCACATATCCTATAACATTGTGAAACAATCGCACCTTACCAATAATACTGGCCCGGAGTATCTTTTTCTTGAAGTCATCCTATCTCACACTAAAGTCCTACTTGGCGTCTATTACAGTCCATCGTTAACTATAGATTATTTCGAGTCACTTGAGGTCCTATTGGAGGAATTAACTCCATTGTACAGCCATACTGTTATCATGGGTGATCTTAATACATGTATGCTTAAAAATGATCATCGATCAGCACGACTTAAAGCACTAATAGAATCAGCCAACTTCCATGTACTTCCTTTAACTGCGACTCACTTTTTCCCTAATTGCAATCCATCCCTTTTAGATTTAATTTTAGTTTCTTCCATTGACCACGTTGATAAACATGGTCAATGCAATGCTACTGCATTCTCTTACCACGATCTTATTTTTCTCTCTTATAAACTTAAACCTCCTAAAGCAAAATCAAGAATCCTTCTCCAACGTAATTTTGCGGGAATGGACCTAGATCGTTTGCGCGAAGATGCTTTAAATATTGATTGGACTGAGGTTTTAAATGCAGAGACTATGGACAACCAGATTGATACATTTAATTTGCTATTGACACAATTATATGATATTCATGCGCCTATTAGACCTGTACGTACTAAACATCTTCCTGCACCCTGGCTTACTGTAGACATTAAAAAGCTTCAAGAAAAGAAAAACATTGCTAAAGCTAAATTAAAAACTAATGCAAGTGATATCAATCGGCAAAAATATGTTAAAGCTAGAAATCATTGCAATAGGGTGTGTAGGGATAGTCAACGACGCCATATTCATAAATCTGTTGTCGAAGAAGACAATACAGTAAAAGTCTGGAACTTTCTTAAATCTCTTGGAGTTGGAAAGGCAAAACAAAATATAACCTCCAAAAATATAGATCTAAATCAATTAAACAAACATTTCTCATCGTTCAGTACAATTGATAGTACAACTAAATTAAGAACTAAAAATCAAATTCTCGCTTTGGCCACTCCTGATTCTCCCATTTTTAAATTTAGTCAATTTACAGAATGTGATGTTCGGAAACACATAGTGGCAATTAACTCTGATGCGGTTGGCTCTGACTGCATTAGTCGTAAAATGATCGTTCCTTTATTAGATATATTGATCCCTGTCATAACTTCCATGCTTAATTTTTCTATTAATACTGGCTGTTTTCCATCCGCATGGAAAGATGCTCAAGTAATACCTTTACCAAAAAAAAAACAATCCCACTACTTTCTCCGACTATCGTCCTATTTCCATTCTACCCTTTTTATCCAAAGTGCTCGAGCGCCTTGTACATCATCAACTAAGTAATTTCCTTTCAAATCATAATCTACTGAATCCTATGCAATCCGGCTTTCGTTATGGTCACAGCACGACTACTGCACTCGTTAAAATAACAGATGACATCAGACTAGGAATGGAAAATCAACAAGTCACAGTTTTGACACTATTAGATTTTAGTAACGCTTTTAACACTGTTGATTTTGATATTCTTCTTGCTACATTGTGTTCTCTTAACATATCTCCAGATGTGATTGACTGGTTTCACAATTACTTGTATGGTCGCCGGCAACGAATCCGTATTCACGATTCTTGCTCTGAATGGATTTCGCTACATGCCGGTGTTCCTCAAGGTGGCGTGTTGTCTCCTCTTTTATTTTCTATATTTATTAACTCTCTCTGTAACTATATTTCTTCTCCCTACCACCTCTATGCAGATGATCTACAAATCTACCGCCAAACGACCGTATTAAACTTAACTCAAACCATCGATCATATTAATACTGACCTACTTAATATTTCGCAAAAAAGTAAATCATTAGGCTTAATAGTGAATCCAGGTAAAACACAAGCTATAATTATAGGTAGTTCAAAATTAAAATCAAAAAATATCTTTATCACAATTACCACCTATTATGCTTGACGGTATACAAATTCCTTACAGCGATAAAGTGAGAAATCTAGGTATTATATTGGACGAGACATTATCTTGGAAGTCACAGGTGGGCGAAGTGAGCAGAAAAATGTTTGCTGCCGTTGCATCATTACGTCGCTTACGCAACTTTCTACCCATTCCCACTAAAATTGCCTTGGCTAACACTCTTTTATTACCAATTCTTGACTATGCTGATACTTGTTACCTCGATTTAAGAGAGGAACAGTTAAATAAACTTGAGCGAATTCAAAATCTCTGCATTCGGTTCATATTTGGACTTCGTAAATATGACCACGTTTCCGAATTTCGTAAAAAGCTCAAGTGGCTCCCTATCCGTCTTCGCAGAAATACTCACGTTCTTTGTCTTTTATATAATATTCTATTTAATTCCTGTACACCTCAGTATCTTAAAGATAGGTTTAAATTATTAAGTGATTCTCACCATTTTTCTCTTCGTTCTAACCTTAATCTAACTTTACAAGTTCCTTCACACTCTTCTTCCTTCTATACTCGCTCCTTTACTGTCCAATCTGTCCGTCTGTGGAACTCGTTACCAAATAAAGTAAAACAGGCTGATTCGCTGTCACTATTTAAAAAATTTATAAATGAATATTATCTTAACTTATAAGTGCTAAATGGTGTCATATTTTATTTTATATGTATAATGTTTATATGTGTGTATGTATGTATATATGTATGCATGTATGTATGTATGTGTGTATGTATGTATGTATGTATATATATGGTATATATGTATATATCTGTTTGTATATGTATGTATTTATTGTATCTCTCTTTAAGATTGTTTGCACCCCTTCCTTCTCTCTTCTTTCTCTCTACCCAAAGGTTGCCTAGAATAGATCGCTCTCTAGCGATAAGGCCGCCTATTGTACTATATTCCTTTAATCTTTTTCAACTATATAATGTAAAATAATGGTGTGCAATAAAGAATATTTCATTTCATTTCATAAAGTGAAATACGATAATTTTGAAATGCTTACACGATTGAAACATTTGAATGACGCTGTAATAGAAACGACCTAAATCTGCCGCAGTCTCGTGGGACTTGCATAAATAAAATGCACTATTTTCAAACAGTCTCCAGTACAATTTTAGAATACCAAGAATTTACAAAACAATTTTTGATATAGTATTATGTCACGGTTATTTAGATTCTGACAAAAAAAAGGTTATTTTATCGTAGTATAAAAATTATATCATTACACATTAGTCAGCTTTATATCTATTTAATTTAGATTATACTAAAACTTTTATTAACGTCCATAATATAAGAAAATGGTACAATATTTTCTTATTTTAAACTGGCCAAGGTTACTTTAATTGATAAGTATGACGCGTTACGTATAATCTGTGCATATGTAATGAGTTTTTTTTAAAGTGTCATGAAAAAGTATACTATAGTATTAGCGACTTCTATCACTGCTCTGAGGGCGGCCCTAGGTAGACACCTAGCTAATAGAATAATATGTGTATTAAATCTCATCGAAATCCGTCCAGCCGTTTTAGCGAGGTGTAAAAAACACACGTACAAACTATTTAAAATAGTAGTCCAATGAATCAAAAAGTCTTGCAATATTTTTTTATTTTCCTATAAATGTAAACAATATAACCTAAAATCACTATGATATTGTGTCAACTGCATTTCCACCCCAACTTTTTCGCCCTCTTGCCGGATCCCATTACCGTTGAGTACGCGCTCTCAACTCGGCTGTAATTGTATTTCACTACTGTATTATGTTGTCGATTGTTTCATTTATTTATTTTTTTCAAATACTGATGAGGAACATTTGCGGAAAATATAATTTACTTTTGCATTATTTATTATCATTTTATTGAGATTTCGTTTTTAAATTGCATTATTGCGGTCTTTTTTCAAGCATTAAACTATTTTAACTACACTTATTTCGCAACGTAAGTAACCAAAAAAATCATTAACCTAAGAATATAAAAATGGCAGTCCAAAACAATTTATAAATCATTTCAATAAGTATAGCATAGTATTTTATAGTATATTTAAAGTCATCAACATTTCGAATAAAAGTTCTCCAATTAGAATATTATAGTGGTATAAAAAACTAAAAAAGAGACACCGACTTCTAAATCACTTAAAGGGCTTAGTTAGGGCTGGATCTCTTTTTTAATTTACAGAAGACTATCTTTAAAGAATTATTTTTATGAAAATGTACGAAGTAAAAAATAATCTATACCTATAATAAAATTCTAACTAAGCCGAATCTGCACATTAAATATTTTTTGTAAAATCTTATTGAAATAGACATTATTATCGATACAGAGGCCGAATCTATAGTTTTTAGAATTTTTGTCTGTCTATCTGTTACCGCATCATGGAAAAACCACTGGAGGGATCTTGATGAAATTTGTATTCGCGCTAGTAATAACATAATCAATAATAATTATTTATAACTAGCAATGCCCGCGGCTTCGCCCGCGTTTAGGTGATAAAAAACCAAATTTTTAGGTTTTACATTATTATACTCTTGCATTGCAGTTTTTATATTTTTTCTCAGAAATGAGATATTTTCCCGCGATAAAAAGTATCCTAAATGTTGACCCAGATAACCAGCTATCACCATACTAAATTTCGTCAAAATCCCTCCAGTGGTTTTTCTGTGATGCGGTAACAGACAGACAGACAAAATATCTAAAAACTATAGATTCGGCCTCTGTATCGATAATAATCTTTATTTCAATAAGATTTTCAAAAGAATATTTAATGTACAAATTCGGTTTAGTTACAATTTTATTATATGTACAGATTGGCAAATTTATTGTGTAACAAACCTGCAAAAAACACAGACGAATTCAATACCTCCTTCTTTTTGGAATCGGTTAAAACACTAAAATTTAGTAGGCATAAAACTTAGATACGTGTTTACGATAGATGTAGATTGAAGACCTTTTAAGTATACGGGTTATTTGATCTTTTACGCCCTAGATTAGCACGAGGAGGGTCGTTATGTTTCGGTTCATGTTTTGTCAGGTAATGTCACAGTGACGTCATACGCAATGAGATCACCGTATCGGTAAAGTAAAACATATTAGGTGTTGCAGAGTATTATTGTAAATAAAACGACGTAAGACATTGGCAGCATATTATGACAACTAAAACAAGGAAAATGAAGAAAATTACACACAAATTGTTAATATATACAGGTTATCTTCAAAAATATATTCATTTAACGAAGAAACACGTTATCAATAGCGGCATCACAAAACTGGTTGTATATTATGTTTGTAACTAAAATACTGAGTTGTATTCAAAACAGATGTATGGATAATTCCATACCAGCATCACCGTAATTATGTTTTATCACTAAACCGTAAACGTTATAGAACTAGAAATAAATTTGCACACAAATGTACCTACTCTCTTTGTAAAAGTAAAAGTGACTCTATTTAATTATAAATACACCTACAAGAAAAAGAATTATGACGATATCGTTACATAAATCAATTAATAGCATCTAACTTAAGTAAATAGCCATAAGAAGTTCTTAGGAAAGGTAACCTATACAAGAAATATGTATATTGTAAGTATATCAAGAAACTAAACATTTACATATATAATATAAGAAACTAGCGACTCACCCTCGCTTCGCTTGGGTTCGGCCCTATGTTCATTCCCCATACAAACTTTCATCCCCATTTTCACCCCCTTAAGGAATGATTTTCAGGATAAAAACTATGTCCTATGTCATTTCTAGGGTCTCAAACGATATTCTTACCAAATTTCATCTAAATCGACTTAGTAGATCCAGAGATTACCCCCTACAACCTCACGAACTTTACCTCTTTATAATATTATTATAAATAATATGATATAACTGTACAATTATAATATATTATACTATTTTGGTGAGATAATTATGTAAGAATTACCATACTAGAATAAACTTGTTACATATCTATACATATAATCATAATAATAATATTAAATGGGTAATATTATTTTTGTATAAGTATTAATTTCTTTCGTGTATCTTGGAAACAGCTGCTTTTTATCTATAGGTACAGGAAGGAAAATATGGATGGGACGCGGAAGAAAAGAACCTGGTGGCTTTTCCTAAAAACAGCAATTTTTATATCTTTTCCGAAAAAACACGATTTTACAAAAAAAAACGACTTCTAAATATGTATGTACATGATTTTTTTTTATAAACTACGTATTGTGTACAGGATAGACTCCAAAACAATTGTTGTTGTTTGTCTGTTTTAATTTTTGTCTGTATATCTGTTTATATTTACTTTTCACGCAAAAAATATAGGTACGTAACGCACATGGCTAACACTAGCTTACTTCTTAAGAGATACATTAAAACTACATATGTACTAGAATATTGTAAGTTTTGAAAAACCCTACAGAAAAGTCTGCTATATCATGTGTGTATCTCCTAACATACACTCACAAACTATTTTCATCTATCAACTATTTAAAAAAATCCTAGGCACGCACCGGAGCGAAGTGAGAGAATGTCGCTAGTCTATACTAATATTATAAAGAGGTAAAGTTTGTGAGTTTGTGACGTTGTAGGGGGTAATCTTTGGATCTATAGAACCGATTTAGATGAGGTAACAAGATAGTTTGAGACCCTGGGAAGGACATAGGATAGTTTTTATGCCGGAAATCATCCTTTAAGGGGGTGACAATGGGGATGAAAATTTGTATGGGAAAACAAGCTAGGGACGAACCCGAGCGAAGCGAGAGTGAGTCGCTAGTAAGTAATAAGCAACAATTTAATTAAGGTCTTGTAATTAAAATAAACTTAAAAATTGCTATGACGCATTTATATATCGTATCTACATAATATGTAATAGACTCATGACGTTCAGTAAAAAATTGTAATAATTTAATGCTGAATAAAATATTTTGAATTTGAATATATATGTATGTTTTATGCATCAATGAAATAAAAAATATATTATATGGCAGTAAATTAATAACTAAAATGCAAGTTTTATCATCTTACTAATTCTAAAAGTTGTATTCATTGTTAAGGAACATTTGTATGTATTTGCATATTATAATTTTTAACTTACATAAATATATTCGACTTAAATGTAATTTTAAATACTATTTAGAGTTATTCTTTTGAAAACTCCTTAATACTAATTCATTTATAAATATGTGATTTGAGGACCACAGCTATAAACAGAACTTAGCACGATCGCAAAATTTCAAGTGAAAGTGAAGGTCTATGACCTGCATCCACTTACTATATGCACTATAAAAATATTTTAATATTGCTTTGAACGGAACTTTATTTATATTTTTACGTACAATATTATTTCTAAACTCTTTTTTGTATTGCTATAATCGTTATCGTAGTAGGTGTCCGTCCGATTACAAGTTTCTTGACACTCGAATAGGAAAGATATTCTGCGATATTTATCATGCTATGTAACATACTCGTAGATATACTAATTTGCAAAATAATGATTAACCTTACAAAACATAATGGTAAGGTATGTTCATTGTTCAGTGTTACGAAACAAATATGGCGCAGCATCTTCATGTATCATTAGATGTACAGGACTTTTCAAATAAAGTACATTAAAACTGGTCAATCTGTTCATGACAGATTTCGGTCCGTACATAGGTAGATCTATCCATTGTTTCTCGATATCGGAAGTCTATTTTTATTATCAGACTTGTATTATAACTGCGAAACTTTGTATGTGTGTATGTTTATTACTCTTTCTGATCTGGGTGGGTAGATTTGAATAAAATTTAGTACACAGAAAGATATGACTTTAAGTAACACGACGCACCAAGCAAAGTTAGGTTAAGTCACTATTTTATATATTAAATAAAATAATGGCATAATTAAAAATGGCAGATATGTACAGTTATACATATAATATCTGACAATAAATATGACATGTGATAACTAAGCTGTTATATGGTATTGCTTATTACTTATAACAAAACTTACACTGTCGATGAGCTGCTGCTTCTCCTGTAACTGCAGCTCCTGGTGACGGAGAGTGGCTCTCTGTTTTTCAGCAGTACTGCTAAGTCGTGATAGCACCTCTTGGTCATGCTCTCTGGCCGGTGATGGTGGAGCACTTGTACCTAACAGATAATAATAAAAAAATAAAAAAAAAACATACGATACTCGTATAGCGGAACCCTAATTCTTTTACTGAAATAAAAATAGCCTAAGTTACTCCTTATAACATCAACTACCTGCCAGTGAACGTTCCGTGAAAATAGGCCCAGCCGTTTCGGAGATTAGCCGGAACAAACAGACAGACAGACAAAAATTTTAAAAATTATGTTTTTCTTATAAATACCGTATATAATTCCATTTAGTAAAAAGCTGTTATTTTGACATTACAAACAGACACCTCAATTTTATTTATCTGTATAGAAATGTTAACATATAACTTAGAAAAAATGAGTACTTATATAGAGTATTCTTATTATATATTGTCTTGGCACAATGAATGAACGAAACGACGCAGTCGGTTACATCGGAGATCACAGGATCGATCCTCACAATGGAAAAATGTTTGGATCATCAAAATACTTGATATATTTGTCCCAATTTAGTTATATATGATGTCTCGGTAATAACTAAGTAGAGAGCGAAGTAAGAACTTACACCTAGTTTTATTTTTTCTCTTAATGGGAAAGTACTTCACCAAAAAAAAATATTAAAACTTAATATATCAATAAAGTAGTATAAAACGAGTTATTTGTTTATACACAAAAGTAAACAAAAAATACAATCTATGATGAAATTTTCATTTGGTTGAAGTTATCTTAACCGCTGCTTACAATGGGAGGAAATGACACCAAACCATGTTGTTTATAACAGAATGCCCGTATTAAGAAGCAATGTGACTCAAAAAAAGAACAATAAAATGATATTAAGAAAGAGTATTTTAATTGACATACCGTCCGCAGGCGAATTTATAGTTCGCCTTAAACGTTTGTTTTCGTCTTGAAGACGTCCGACAGCCGTTACCAGCTCAGCCGATTCTGTCCTCCATTGTTCTTCGATAGCTTCTATTTCCTGAACAAAAAACACAAAATATTCTTAATAAGAATATACAAAATTCTCTTATTAATAGGGGCAGGAAAATAGAATCAATCTTATTTAAACATATTAAAATAACAAAATTCTAGCAAATCCCCCGGATTCGTCCGCAATTCAAATTCAATCTACAAAAAGAACTCTTTATTTTTATGTTAAACAGCGATTCAACCTCGCTTCGCTCGGGTTCGTTCCTATGTATTTATATAACTTATAAAGTTTTAAAATAGTGTATGGAAGTCTGCCCGATTTGTTAACATTTATGATTACTGCTCCGCTTCCTTGAGTAGTAGCATTACGATAAGTCTATAGCGTTCCTCAATAAACGGGCAATCTAATACAAAAAGAATTTTTCAATGCCGATTAGTAGTTACTAGAGATTAGCGCGTTCAAACAAACAAACTCTGCCTCTTCATAACATTAGTATAGATTTCTTTGACTTTTCCTTTATAGGTCATGGATTGACACTACTAAGGTTTATTTCCTGTATCTTAACAAGCTTTATGTATCTTTTAGGAGTCATTAACCCAGATTCATCTTTCATGATATTAAAAAAAGGAATTTATATTTCGTAATGCCAAGGACTTATTATATTCTACTTCAATTAGTGCGTGTGTACATATATTGCTTTCTTTTTTTGGATTTGGATTAAATTCAGTACACAGATATACTATGAGATCTGAAGTAACATATAGCTATTGCTTGGTAACTGCGCATTGGAATGAAATGAGTAACTCGCTGGTATTACTTATTTTCAGTCCTTCATTGGTTATGAACTTTATTTTATAGTGAAATAAAATGCCAAATAATAACTCCACTACTTGACATTGCTACTTTTTAATTTAAATCAGGTATTCTGAATTTAATTTACCCGACAATATAGAAGAAACACTACTTTAGGTAAACATTTCCTAATAAACACCTGTACTAGTTGTGAACCCTTCTCAAGAATTCTATAACTAATTAGTTATTAGTTTTTCTTATAATTCTATAAATAATAAATTATTCATTTAGAAACAAATACTAATTCAAGTGGAAATTATATTTATAATAAATAAATTGTGCAAAAACCAGTCAGATATTAAGCAAAGCGAGCTATTCAATAAATAAATGAACATATTTCAATGTATTTATTCATTTGAACTAAAACAAGGCATCCTTAATCTACTGAAGTTGGTCAAGGTATGTAGTAACAAATTAAAAACACTGCATCTGATTGAAATTTCAGTTTTATATTTGTATTTGTATTTTAGGAAAAACATCAATGTCACCTTAATACTGGATAAATAAATTTTCTTTTCTTTTAAATATGTGTGGTTCGAGATAAGTGTTTTAAATATTCAATCAAGAAAGTGTTTACATGTAACACCTATTTTTTTCCTATCTCATAATACAAAAAAATCCAACATCCTTAGGTATCTGCTAATAAAAATCTAAATAAAATTGGTTCAGGCATTTCGAATAGTGAGAAATAGATATTGATAGGTAAAGTTAGTACTTATTGGCTTTTACATAGCAGCGAATGATTTTGAAATCTCAGATACTTCAATTTAAGTCTCAACATAAGTTTCCTTCCAAGTAAATATATTGTTTACTTTAACTGCTTTCATCTTATCAAATATTTGCCTGTGGTTCCTTCCATCCAGTTTTTCTATCTTAATTTAATATGCTTCTAAAGGAGTATGATGTGTCCTTATCCTTCTTAAATTTTTCTAATCAGACTGGAATAAAAAACTAAGAAATCTTTCAGCTGTATATATTAGTATTGACTATTGTTACTCAATCTTTATTTTGTGATATCAAAAGTTCAATTAAAGATATGCAAAAGATTAATTAATATAAAATTATTAAATGAATTAAATTCAAATGTTGATTGAATAAAATCCATCCACTTTAACAAAACTATTAGTCACATGCTTTTACAAACATCATAATTATAATAGCAGTATATAGTTTTATATGACTCATGTAAAGGAAACTGACTTTAAGAATAATGCTATAGCAAAATAAATGTGCTATATTGTTTAATAATACATTGTTATTACATTAAACATATGTTTATTTACTTTATTATGTCAAGAGTGTAAGTTTTAGAAATAAATATAAATAATCCAAACATTAAAAGAATGCCTCTTGTATTTTTATTTTTATTTATTTTTATTATTTGTTGTTATAGTACCAATAGAAATACATACTCTGTGAAAATTCTAATTTTAACTCGCTACCTATTATGGTTCATGAGATACAACACTCTGAGAGTTGGACAGACAAACAGCAGAAACTTTAGTAATAGGGTTCCATTGGCACCCTTCGGGTATGGAACTCTAAAAATGATGTATAACATTATATTATTATATTGCACAAGATGAGGTTGGCTAAATTTTCAATATTAAACATAGGTCACTATTATTTAAGAAGATTTTTAAACACTCATCACTCTTTATTTTACATAAAAGCTCCCACCATGCTGAGTTTGTGTTTGTTCAGATTAATCTCACTGAGAGAACCTACTTTACAGATTTTCATAAAGTTGTTTAGTTGCAAATAGAAAGACAAATTTTCTAAGACAGTTATAGCCTGTTATCAATGAATATATTATAAAATAAGCTACCAGTATGACGATATTTATGAATTAAATCAAAAAAGCTGAGTATTCAACTCATCTAATAGTATAAATGCATCTAGGGTAATAACTATACAGATAGATGTGTGTATGTATAAACTATATAAATACTTTATACTCATTGAAAATACTTTTTCTTATATATAATACATGGCTTGTTTTATTTCTTTACTTAATTATTTCATTTAATTTTAGATGAGTGTAATGTAAAGAATGGTTTTGGTTATTTTTGACTTGTAATGTATCCACCATATACATATAAGTATAAATAAATTGCATGTGCTTACACAGGAAACTCAATTCAATTATGCAATTAAGAATACCATGTGAGCTACTTCATAACTTGTCTTGTAAGTAGTCTTATTTTAGTAAAAATATGTTTATCTCAACAAACATATTTTTTAATTTTTGAGACACTATACATTAATAAAATACATATTTTAAGCATAAAGTGGAAAAATGTCCAACTATATTACAGGAAGGTTATTCAGTAGGTAATCATTTATCATTATTTATTATTGTTATGTTCACAATATTATTAATATATTCAAGCAACCATTTTGTTTGTTTAATTAGTTCATCGACTGATGAACCGGTTCAAATATCAGTAACAATTTTTATAAGTACACAAACAATAAATTGTGCCATATTGATAATATATTTAATAACAGTAACGTCAATGATGCAAATTAAGTATTCATCACAATTTCGCTATTTTTATTAGTGTAACCCACTGCATTAGATGTTGAAACCATAGCAAGTGTTTCGTGTTTTTGTACGTACTCATTTCAATCACCAAATAACAATGACCTCTACCACTTACCTTTTCAAATCGTTGCCTATATTCTGCTTTCTCGATCTTGTCATTCTCCAATTGTGATATTTTTGCAGTTAGCTCTTGCAATGCTTGATTTTCTTTTTCGTTTCGCACAGCCAAATTTTCTAATAATTCAAGCGCATTTATCACCTTCGGCAGTAGGGCTGTTACGGCTTCAGGGCCGTATTTCTCGATAATTATTTCACATTCCTTTCCTATATCAGACGCTAAATCGTACACATCGACAACAGTCACTTCGTCATCGAAATCCGGCATTTTCGCGGAGAAGCGCCTGCGGTACGGCATTAAAAATCACCTTGTTTTCACTCCACCTCACCAAATTCGTTAACTTTACATAAAGCTATCCACCTTTCGCAAGTGCGCCATCATTACTGAATTTTAAGAAATGTCAATTTGCTTTGCTCGGCATACTTTAACTAGAGATGTAAATAGTTATCGAGCAAAAAATTCTATTTATCGATGTTGACATCGTAATAGTAAAGTATACGAAATAATGTAGATTTTAAGATTTTTAGTTTATTCAATGTCAAGAATATTAGATATATCATAAAATAAGAAATTAAATTATTAAGAAAATAAGAAATTAACTTTGATGTGATTTAGACTCTAGATTTAATACTAAATGTTGATTTTTACATAACAATGTAGCAATTTTTGATTTGGCCTAAATTAGACAGCGACGAATATTTCCATTAATGAATTTTCTTCAAAAATTGCTTTCTATCGATGATTATGACAGTAATGAATTATTGTATAATTATTTTACTTTTGTGACATCACTACGCAGATGTTATAATCGGATACACGATCGAAAATAGAATTTAATACACTTTATTGAAATTGATACAGCCATATAACATTAATTATTATAATAATAATTAAAATTATTTAGAGCTAATATATAATAAAAATTAAGGATTTTTTTCATGCCTAGCCCGCAGAAGAGTGTAAGAAAAGAAAATTACATTTTTAAGGCTAAATATTCACTAAAAAAAGCTAGATATTAAATATAATTGAATTTATTTAATTACGCATTACATTTTTAAAGAAAAACCGTATATAAAATTATTAGGTACTGTGGCGACTGTCAAAGCTGTTACTTGAGCATAAGCTATTGATGCTGCCATCTAGTGAAAAATATTAAAATGATAATGTAATTTGTTTGCAAAGTACTAACTAAATGAGTACCTAATGATTATTAATTAGAATTACTTTTGCAAGCAATTACCACTTCTAAAAATATACTAATATATACTAAGAAACTAATATATAGGTAGCTTATTATTAAAATAAACGAATAATTAATTATATATTTTTATAAATATTTTATGTAGGAATAGTTCAATTTCAGATCTCAATGTGACATTTTATTACTAGGAAAAAAAGATTATTTTAAAAATCAATTGTACATTTTGGCAACAATTAATAAAAGGCTTTCTGTCTAGATATTATTTATGCAAGATACATCTACATTGTTTAAAAGCTTTCACAGCTGATAAGGGATGACAACTCATTTAATGTATCGCTGTTTTAAGAACGTGGTTAAAATATCGATTATTAGAAGTCGCCACGCGCGAAGCAACAGTTGGATGATATCAACAGGCGGGAGCGTGCGACACGACTCCTTCCACCCGCGAAAAAGAGCGAAACGTATTAATATTTTTCTTATTTATCCGAAAACGCAATGAACTTCCAAAGTAAAGCGAATAAATATGTGTGCCCTAATGATCGTCAACTTTCCTTACGAGCAAAGTGAGTATTAATGTTTTGTGACTTTAAAAGTTTGGTAAATATTAGTTTTGTTTATGTTTTGCGGCTTACTTAACATCTGAGTCTTACTTAAATCATAAGTTTTAATTTACACATTTTTAAAAACCAGTTTCTCCCTACATCTATCGTATTTATATATTATAAGTAGTAATAAAATTAAGTTGTATTTTATATAATTATTAATTATTACATAGGTATTTTATGATTTTCACATTGATCCTAATCAGTTATTTATTTAATACCTAGTTTGTTATTTAGAAAAAGGTATCTATCAAAATTTATTATAATATTATGCACATAAAATAATTAAATAACTTTTATCATTTTATAAATAGTGATAAGTAAATATAATTTATACAATAAATTACATAATATAAATAAATTAATATTTAGAGAGTAGGTAACAAATATATTTTTAATTTAAAACTAGAAAAATAATAGACTGAAATTAAATCTATCAAAGTATGTAGTTGATCATGACGACCACCTACCAATTTTACATTAAGTACAAAACTTACTAAATTAATATTTTAAGTTTATAGTAACCATTGAAAATTAATAAACATATATTCGTAGTTCTTATCTACTTATTCATATTGGTATCTCTATTTTTCCGGTACTTTCAGAAATATTTTTAATATAAAACTTGTGTTTTATATTGAAACAAAAAAATTCATCTCAAGCTAATATGTATTTTGTAATGGCGTAATTATCTAAATAGGTATAACGATTATCTATAAAACTTTTTTAATCAAACTTTGGGAATAGATAGGACAAAACAGTTTGTCGGATTCTTTGTAAGCCTTCATTCAGATTACAGAGGTGGGTAAGTGTGTACTTACTTGGATATGAATAATAAATATTTTATCAATATATTAAAGCATACGTACATACAGTCTATAAACGTAAATTTTAGGGATAAAGAGGAATACGAATATATCAAATACTTTTTTGTTTCTCCATCACAATAAACCTTATTAAATATAAATCTGCTAACTGTAGTTAAACAAAACTTTGTTTTAATAGTAAAAAAATAAAATATTCAATCATTAAAATTTACGAAAAATACGGACAATATAGATAATATAATCAAGAATACATGATTCATCATCATCACTCATCCAAATCATAATAATTAAAATCATCATAATCCTTTTAAAATTTTATTCGCTCAGGCGCATTCCTATATATTATACATATTTGCAACAGACCAGTATCTCACAGGAACCACTTAATAACAGAGAAAAAGTAACCTAAATCAATCACCGATCTATAAACTATCTCTACGCGAAGCACGTCGCCCCGTCACTCCGTAACTTCAGCGAAAAGGACAAAGCAATAAATAAAAAACGCACTGCCAACAACAGGACAGTAAGGATTATTTTCCTATTATTAAAGCTTCGATGTAGCAGGTTCTAGGTGTACTAAATCTTTTTTAATGTGAAATCAATGAACCCATTTTTATGTTTACGTAAATATTGTAAACGAAATAAAAGAAAAGCTAAAAGAATTTATTTAATTTATAATTATAAGGGCCTCCTCCTTAATTGCCCCCGGGCCTTTCACACTTTTACATCCGGCCCTGCTTCGCTCTCCATTAATTAAATGTGAGGCAAAATTAATTTCGCATAGGTATCTATAAAATAAAGTACAAAAACTTTTAAGGGGTCATGGCTTAAGGAAAATTGGAAAAAGGATCGAAGAGTTTGATTTTCTAAAAATAAAAGCAAGGTTGGAATGCTGGCCTTGCGACATCGTTCACTATCTCTGAGCTCACATCCGCTTCCTATTTACATTGTTTTCAATGCGAGTATGATTTGTATTTGTTTTTGTATATGAGTATTTGGATATATTTGAGGTTTTCAAATCGATAGCAGGAAATATTATGTCATAGTAACTCGCCTGTATGAACGGACGGACATATTAAGTACCTTTTTATATCTGCCCCGCTTACCAAGCGAGAGCGGCCGTGGACAAAATGCAATTTTAAATATTAGTTTAAGGATAAAAAGTTTCATAAAATTCGTTTACACCCACCCACATTTAATTTTTTAAATCACTACTTGCTGTTATAAGTTCTAACAGTTTTTTGAGATTTTTTGATGATTATAATGATGATTATAATGAAGGCAAAACATTAAAATAAACCTAAAGGCAGGCAAGTTAAAATACAATGTAAATAAAATGCCAAAAAATTTTTTTTCAAAAGTTTGAGAAACCTTTCTTATAACTCAAATTGTTTTGTTCTCTCAAGAGGGAAAATGTGAATGCTATTACTATGTTAACGTCTAAAGGAAAATATTTCATGATACATTAAAAATATACAAAATACAGCTAGGTGACTTCTATAATATATAACGTTATAAAAATAGACCAAGTGCAAGTCTGATTTCCGCATTTAGGGTTCCTTATTACATTACAATAAAATGGATCTTAAAGCCCTAGTGCCAGTCCAACTCATTTTTAGTTATTAGTAAATAATGTAAACTTGTAAGTTAAGAGCTTACGCTATAAAAACAGTCTGACGCTACTTACCTACTTATAATACTAACGCCACTGGAATAAGATCCCACTGCAAGATGGCTACGTTCATTGCGTATTAATCGAAATTATTTTTTTATATACAATATTAAAGGGACAATATGCTTTGACCGGGGTGCCTATTCAAATGTGCCCGCTAGTATATTTAATTAACTAAATAATAGTTGACTTTTTTCAATAAAAACGATGCATTTGTTATTACAATGAATTATACTCCACTTCACAGAACTATACGTATAGTCTAGTCAACAAGTTCAAAAACGTGTTAAATAGATATAAAGCTCCTAAAAATATGTGCCATAGCTCATTCGATTCGGAATGACGTCTAGAAAAATGTTTTTTAAGGGCATATTAGCACATAAAAAATTGCAATTGTTATTAACAAAATAAGATAAAAAAAGGTTATTTAGTTTTCCGTTAATAACTTTTAAAATAATGATATTTAAGGAATTATGAAAAAAGATCCTGAAAGAGGAGGAAATTTCCAATAAAAAAGTCCTAACTCCCGGAACTCTATCTATATTATTTATAATTTTTTTTAACGCTGGAAATAGGGCTCCGCGAGGGCGTTACGGCATAGGCGCGCCGTCTAAAAAGCAGGTATATCACCTAAAATATTTTTTTTCTAATATTATATAACAATTTCAAAATTTGAATAAATTATGGTGTAATCTAGACACTTGAACGAAAAAAACCTCGGTGAAAAAAAAATTTTTTTACAATTTTTCAAAAAGTTACACCATTGTTAATTAACTAATTTTTTTCTAATCTCTGTTTTTATAAATTACGGCATAAAAGTTTAAATAATTAGTCTATAAATTTTTCGCTTCGTGGAGCTCTTCTTATTTAGGTACTTAATAAAGTTATGCAAAAAAAATTTATTAAAGTTTATTATTTTGTTAATTATAATTTTTTTAAATTAACTAAAAATGAAATTTCTAAAAAATGTTATCAAAAAAAATTTTTTTTGGTAA